GAAGAATTATTTCCAAATTTAACAAAACCAATAGTTTTACCTTAATTTTGATCTTAGACTTTTATTCTCAGAACAGAGTGACCTTTAAACTTCTGGATCTGCAAACTACTCCCTTCAACGGGCTCCTCCCTTCACGGGATCCTTGCTATTCCAGTTTTTGCTCTCACTGTATCTTTTCTAAGAATTAAAACTATAGATCCTTAATAAGGAGAACTCTTCTTTTGTTAAAGTAAGAAAGAAATATTTTCCTTAATCTTTCAAGAATCAATGAGATAAGTTATTTAGAAACTCATATTTTTCTCAAAGAATTCGAATATTATTGATATATGATCAGAATGAAAAGACAGAAAATCTAGGCTTTCTCACAATCTGAGTGCTCAAAAACTTCCTCGACTTCTTCTGTCCTACATGAGCCCGAAGGCCTCTATTTATACCATCACATGATGCTTAATTATTTTGCCTCTTACATCATACTAATTATAGAGTTTTATTTTTCTAAAAGTCTAACCACTACATTATCGTGGTTCCATTATTGTATAAGACAATTAACTTTATATCACATCTTCTTTATCAAAGGCAATACCCTTCCATTATTGTCTTGTTGGTATGCAGCTGGCAAGATTCCTCGGCAGTGGTAGGACCTCCCAACTCTATCTTCTTAGCATCATTTTTCTTTCAATTCTGTCGGCATGTGGGGCATTTCCTTAATCTTCATACCTCCTGAATCGTTGTAGCACTTTCATTAATTTGATGGGTATCAAATTTTTAGATGTATTCCTTCAGAATTGTAGATTTTTCTTTTCCATTATTTGTTAAGAGGGTCCATCATTCATATTGACATAGGCATTTGAACTTCTTTTCATATACGTTCCTTGCCATATTGTAAAGGGCCTTCATCCCCAAAATTCTTCAGGATTTGATCCATGATTTTGTAATTTTTGGTAATGGCTTGGTATTCTGACCGATTTCAATTTGGAAATCTCAGCCTGCATATCCAATTGTGATAATATGTTCTGCAGGATAGTATATCATTCCATCAACCTCTGGACTAATTGAATAAAATTTTATATATACAGATCTTCCCTGGACAAATTTTGAGACTTCTGATTTGAATATATCATCAAAATTTTCAATTTCTTTTAAATCTTTCCCTGGATAGATTAAATCCAAGAATCCATAATCTGCTGCCATTTTTACTGTCAAAGGGTCTGCATCTTTGGTAATTATCAATCTTGGGTAAACATGATCCCCTGATGAGATGAAATAGGAATTATTTTCTCCCAATTCATAGACAATCTTGGCAAAAGATTTATATTCTTCTTCTTTTGATAATAAAGGGGTTTCATCATTTTCACCGGTTCTAATTCTTATCACCTTTGTATGTTCATCTTCATTTTTTATTGTCACCTTTAGGGGACTTGGCATGATCATATCTCTTTTTATTTGGCTTGGTCCACTACTGCTTCCGCTTGGTGTACCTGTTTGTATTTTTTGTATTGTACCTATTTGTATTCTCTGTTTGGTATTCAGCGAATCGAATTGTGAAGTAACATCATCAAGTCCGTCATTCAATTGTTTGGTATAT